GAAACCATTTATCATAATAAAACTTTAAATTATGTCCATATCGATGCCGTGGGTCAATCTAAACAAAAACAAAGAGAATTAGAATCAGAAACAGCTAATGAAAAAACATTAGTGAACTAAACTCCTTCTAGAGCACTTGACTTACCGCCTCAAGCCAATGCTGCAAAGTAAGCTTTAGAGCTTTATCATTCTTTGATAAACCTTTTCCTACCTTGGCGGCTCTGGTTGTTGCTCTTAACCAACGAGAAATAGCAGTTTCATGTTTCTCTTTATTAAAGAACGATATAGAACTCCGTTTTAGTTCGTCAAATTCTAATATCTTCCAACTGCCATTGCAACAATTAATAGCATGAGAAATCATAAAAGCAGAAAACCCATTACATACAAAAGGGGCACATGTAATACATACCAGATCTGCTCAATGAAAACTGCACAATCTGCTGACTTTCTCCTCGTTCTGAAGTTGTTGTACACTTCTTGCAATTTTATTAGTGCCTCACGTTTGAGCTTTTTATTACTGTTCTCATTATTTGAGGGAGTAGACATGGTTGAGATCCTAGAAACAATTTTTTCTCATATGTTATCAGCCACCTATTACCAATTGATTTTATGAATCCAGCATGACAGGGGAGAGCGACCATGTTGAGGTGAATTCAAAGCAAAACCCATTTTTGATTTCTGGTACCAAGGTGGTTGATGGGTATGCTCGGATGCTTGTCACTTCCGTTGGAATGAACACGACTTGGGGCCAGATGATGAGCCAATTGACAGGCGACAAGAACGAGCAGACGCCGCTACAGGTCCGGTTAAACAAGCTAACGTCCGCAATAGGTAAGGTCGGTTTGGCAGTGGCTCTCTCGGTTCTTGTAGTGTTATTGGTTCGTTACTTCACCGGAAATACAAAGGATGAGAATGGAAACACAGAGTTCAACGGTAGCAGCACATTATCAACCAATCTGACAGGATATCCAAATTTTTTCTATCATCTTCGAACACTATAGACAATGTTTCAACCCATTTAGAAACGCACATAGAAAACACATAGAAAACTATTCTTAAAGAGTGAGCACAGTAGAAAAGAGATAAAAAATGGAATTACCTTGAATTCATGGATATTAAAGCACACAGAAAACCCTGGATTCAGAGACGAAGGAGAGGATTCTGATCTTATTCTTTCTTTGTTCTTTTGGGATTTCGATTTTCCACCCCTTTTCTCTCCAACGACTGAGCAAAGAAGATAACTATTCTTAAAGAGTGAGCAAAGAAAGGAACTTGTCCAGGAGAAACAAAACCACCATTGCTAAGCTGGTTATCAACTTTTCTTGAATCGTGGGTCTCAGGAAAATTTCAGTGTCAAAATACGAGTTGGGTCTCTCAACTTTTAGATTTGTATCCTTCAACTACAAAAATATTAAAATTATCTTTAAACTTTAATGGTTTAATACTCAATTTGGTCCCTAAACTTTCATTTCTAAACTTAGTTCATCCTTTAACTTCAAAAAACACCTAAATCATCCTTAAACTTTATTTTTCCGTAACGCAAATGGTTCTTCCATTGATGGAACTGCATACATGGCACGTTTAAGTCTACCAATTACCTCTTTTAATTTTCACAAACTTATGTGGAAAAAACAGCACTTCCAATTGATGACATGACACTAAATTGGTTTTTTTATGCCTACGTATTCCTTGTGCTGATTCCCTCATAGATGCATCAATCATTTTATTTTCGACTCTGGTGATTCTGAAGTTTCAGGGACTATTGCAAACTTAGTATTTAATTTGTAATGAAAAGTTACTGTTTACCTACTTCAAAGACTAGAAATCTCATCCTGTATTTTGTTTTCAATTTTAGCATCTTTTCCCAGCACTGTTTTTTGAAAAGATGTAGGACTTAGTCTTTAATTTGTTTCATGAAAAGTATTGGGGAACACGTAGAATTTCCGAGTACCCTTTCAGGTTTTCAAGTATGTTAGTTACTCAAACAATGCCTCTTACATGCTTTTTCATTACAGTCATGCACTTGATTTTGTAATTGTTTTCCTTCTATGCCAACATGCTTGCTTCTTTATTTATGTCCATGTGAGATAGAAAACCCTTTTTATTGGTCAATTATGTTCTCTTAGATTTTTGTCGTTTTAAACTATCCATGAACTACTTGGAAGCTTCCTCTCCTTTTTAATTCAATTGTTTGAATTATCATTTTCTGTTAGTATAGTTTTGCCATTATTCTATTGAGTATACTGTTGTTTCTATTAACTTAATGCCAGCTTTGAAGGTTGCAGATTGTGAAGTAAGTTACTGCTATTGGTTTTACATTTACTTTATGAAGTGTTATTTGCAATATTCTACTGGTATTTTTTAAGAAATATAGATTTCTAGATTTCATGAAATTGAATTAGTTAAGTTATTCCAAGTTTTTTTTTTTTTTTTTTTTGCCTTTTAATTCTCATTTGCCTTTATACTTAGTTGTTCTTAGTCAATGCTTCTAGACAATGTAGCACAAGTTTAAGAAAAGCATAGAATTGTTCACATGGTTGCTATTTTTTTTTTTTTTAACATGTTATACCAGATACTGTTTACAGATACTATTCACATGGCTGCTATTTTTTTTTGCATGTTATACCAGATACTGTTTACAGATGCTATTCACATGATTGCTCTCCATTTTTGTTGTTTTTCTTTGAAGCAAAACCATTTTACAAATGTGAATATTGATTAAGGGAGAGGGCAGTTCAGCAATTGGTTCAGGTGCAACAAACCAGCAATTGGTTCAGGTGCAACAAACAAGCAAAAGAAACCAAGCACTGGAGTTGGAATTGGTTACCAATTTATTACTGCAAGGCAGCTGCTAGCACAAGCAAAACAGATGCAGCAATCAAGGAAAATGGTGAAGAAGAATAATGAAGAAGCTTCACTTTGAGGTTTTTAGGTTCTAGATCAAATCCAATAACATAAGTCTTCTTTTAAGTTGTGAATGAATAACATAAGTCTTTTTTTAAATTATGACCGAATTTCCTGAGATCCTGTGTTGATGAACCAAATTCTGCATTTTCTTGATTGTTTTTGAAAAGAATAACTGCATTATAGCCACAATTTCATTTACATGCAACATCCCCTTTTGAAAAAATAAAAAGCTCAGTGCTATTGCGTCTCCAAAGCAAGGTAGCTATTAATCATGTGCTGCTTTCTCTAGCTAAAATGATTTCAATCTATCTGAATGTAGCTTCTTTAGCATTAAATCACTTATTTTTTAACCAAATATGAATCACTGCAGTTATTGAAGTAGAATT